ACCCCTTTCTCTAATAATTCATTTCTTTGTTTTTCACTGATGATTCAGTACAATCTGATCTTTACACAGCCTGCTTTTGGACAGACACGTTTAATAACAAAAACATTACATTTTCAACAATTATTACAAACAAACAGACCTTTGATAAAAAAAAAATACAATATGGATTTTTTTAAAAAAAACAATACAAATTTCCCAGGATACTGTTTTTGAAATTTCATGGAAATATTTTTTTCCCTATGTGCTGTGAGCTCTAAGAAATTAAAGAGGGGTTTGTGTCACTGTCAAACCTACTTTGGGTTTTAAATCTAATGCTACTATATTTGTACAAGTATAAAACATCAATAGCCAATAAGTGTACATGTATTATAGTGATTGAGTACTTTTAAGTGTGAATAAATTGCTTTAAAATAAAAAGAACAAACATGCATGAGTGTGTGTTTAGATATGAAATGTACTAACATACAAAACTGTCTTTGATAATCAAGGTTACTTTTCATAACCTCTATGAATGTGTTTGAAGAACAGTGACTGAAAAAAAAAAATTGCAAATCAATATTGCACACAAATACATATTCGAAATCTTGCTAACAATAATATAGTTTAAACAGGAAAAAAAATCCCATTTTCTTAAATCTTATTGTTTCTGAAAAGGTTGTTTTGCAAAACTTAAACAAATGTAAAAAAAAATTAGTAAAACACCATCACATTGAGTTCTTTTATGGTTTTGCCAATTACAACATTCAACATAGAGTTGACAAAAACAAAGGCTTATTTTTCTCACTTTCTACATAAAATTTAAAGAAAATGCCCAGCAGTAATCAATGGTATCAACTGCAATATGGATAACAACTTTGTTTAAGATTTTAGCTATGAGTCATATCTTATTATGGGCCCTGTAACAAATAAGGTCATGGACACACAAGCAATTTGGTGCATAAATAGTTTAGGAAAATGTGCTTAAATAAGCTGATGGTGTTCATGGATTTGTGGTCTTCATTTAAAAAAAAAAAGTTTAAGAAAGAAGCAAAAAAATCATAATCCTGTTAGTTTAATTTCTATTGAAGGCCAGATTTCAAATTTATTGTAAAAGATAATTTAGAAAAGTATCTTGATACATGGGATTAACAAATGGATCTCAGTATGATTTTATATAAAGTTTATTCACTCCACTACTTTACTAGATTATTTGTATAGCATCCCTGATTTTTAGATGATGTCTTCCTGGTTGACTAGCTTGCTAGATTATTTTTATAGGATCCCTGATTTTTCACATAAGGTCTTCCTGGTTGACTAGCTTGCTAGATTATTTTTATAGGATCCCTGATTTTTAGATGATGTCTTCCTGGTTGACTAGCTTGCTAGATTATTTTTATAGGATCCCTGATTTTTAGATGATGTCTTCCTGGTTGACTAGCTTGCTAGATTATTTTATAGGATCCCTGATTTTTCACATAAGGTCTTCCTGGTTGACTAGCTTGATAGATTATTTTTATAGGATCCCTGATTTTCAGATGAGGGCTTCCTGGTTGACTAGTTTGCTAGATTGTTTTTATAATCTTTGATAAGGGCTTCCTTGTTGACATAGTCTATTTTGCCATTACGAAAATTGATAAAGTAATGAGCATATAGCCAACAAGGATATTAGATTCTTAAAGCATTGGTGAAAAAGCTATAAAACAGAAGTGGGTACAATATAGATTTTGTGGTTGGATGGTGACAGACAGACATTAACATTATTGGTAGGTGTAGTTAGTCTGTATTGAAATTTTTATTATTCATTATTTCTGTTAATGTTTTAGCAATTAGACAAAAAGTTATCATACTTTGCTTGAGATACTGAAAGTTTCGTAAAACTAACATTTCTTTAATTTAAAATATTTGGATTGTCTTAAAAGAGCAGAAAAGAATGTAGAATGTATGAATAGATACTACTAAGGAAGTATTGTGGTATGGAAATTTAAAAGAACTTATTTCTTATATGAAAACATTTTTGTTGCACAGAAAGAGAGAATCCGGACAGTTTATGAATAAAAGTTTGAAACTATTGACTACACAGATGAAATCAACTTTATAAAACATTCCATCATTCACACCAACAAATTTCCATCAACTATTATCGAAACATTTCCAGAAAACCTCAAAACTCAATTCACAAACAAAATTGATACCAATACACCAAACAATGGCACAATAATACATTTCAGTTTATCATTAATCCCTGAAATCAGTTCAGAAATAACCAACACCTGAAGGAAACTTGCCATTAAACATAAAATTCCTATTGACTTCAAATTTACTCAAAAACCCAGCCCTAAACTAAAATCATTATGAAATAAAAATTATGTAAAAATCACACAATGCCAACGTCATTTATAAAATAATGTGTAATACCTGTCCAGAACTGTACACTGGAGAAACCGGAAGAAAATTGGAAACTAGTTTCACTCATGTTTACCACCACTGCAACTCAAAAAAACCACAGTACATCTATAAAAAGCACTGTAAATTTAAGCAAAGAACCAAACAGCCATACTTTAAACCAACACCCTGAGGTACCAAGATATCTTTACTAAACTGTTAAGCGATCTCTGGTCATGTGACCACTTTGTTCCGTATATATATATATATTCTTGATTCTCTATAAACTACTTGTACTTGATGATGACATTATCTTGTGGAAACATTGTACTTCTATAATAAAGTTTCTTTTATAACCCATCCAAGCCATTTCCATACTTTTAAAATTTTGTTGGATAGCCAATATGGTTTCACTAGGGGAAAATCGTACCTTACTAACCTTTTGACATCCTTAGAAGTGGTTACTGTTTATGTAGATGAGGATATGGGTGTGGATTGGTACACCTGGATTTTCAGAAATCATTTGACAAAGTGCCACATAAAAGACTCATTAAAAAAATTCACTCACTTTAGAGGTGTGGGGGATAAGTTGGTGTACAGGATTGAAAAACATGGCTAGATGAAAGAAAGCAGAGGGTTGTTATAAATAGAGTTTAGTCAAATTGTGTTAATGTCACAAGTGATTAGTGAAATTTAATAGCTAATTAATTGTCAGACTCATTAATTGATTATTGTCACAAGTGACTAGGATAGTTGGAAAAATCAAAAGTAGTAATAACCAGAAAAACCATTTTCGATTAGTTGATCAATTTTATTGATTAATTGCCCAGCTACAATTATCAATATATTGCTTAACTTTGCTGATGACATTAAGGTGTTGCTGTGAAGAGTATGCTGCTGCATTACAAAATAATTCGGAGAGTTAGATGAATATGTGACATATGGCTTTTATTTATAATAAATGTAAGGTATTGCATGTGTATCATCATAATTCAAATTGTAAATGTAACTTTTATAGGAATAACCTTAACAGTGTTATAGAAGAAAAGTATTTTGTTTTTGTTGATCAGTCTCTTAAGCAGTGTGCCGTTGCTAGGACAAATATGATTTTAAGTTATATCTATAGAAATATTGAATACAAGTCTAAAGAGGTTGTCATTTCATTGTACAGGTCACTATTTATGCCTCATTTGGAGTATTGTGTTCAGTCTTCACATTAAGAAGGACATTAAATTGTTGGGCAGAGTTCATAGGAGGGCTAATAGGATGATACTAGGGATGGAAAGTTGTCATACAAGGACAGATTAAGATCTCTGAATGGGTTTTCTCTTGAAAAAAAGAAGATGTTGATGCATCATCTTTTTTCATATTTAATGGTGAGAATATTAGGACTAGGGGACACAAATGTAAGTTCTAGCTGTGTAAGAGTCGTCTTCAGGTAAGACAGTTTTACTTTTCTAACAGGGTTGTGCCCTTTGGAATGGGTTGATTTCAGATGTTGGATGTAGTAAATGTAAGAAAGTTCAAGAGAAGGCTTGACAGATATTATGTGATAAGGGCTGATTAGTTTAGTGGATGGCACAGCCTTGATGGACAAACAGGCCCCTTGTTGTCCTTAAATGTATGTAATAAGTTTGGAAGTTCAAACATAGACTTGCTTGTTTGATAGATACAAGTTTGTTTTACTTCATAAAGAAGAATATGATGTTAGTTTAAGTTCACTTAAAACATCTGGAGAATAGACATGTATGGATTTGAAATGTTACATTTAGCACAGATTGATGATTTTTAAGGTTTTAAAAATGGCAGGATGACTTCAATGGGTTCAAACTGTCTTCTGTAACTTTACATGCAACATTATTCTTTCTACAGCTATAGACACTACACTAAGATCATTTTACAAGATATAATTACAAATGATTAACTTAAATCACCTTTGTATAACCAGAAGCAAACTGAAAATAAATTATTTCTCTTTTATTATTATGTGGTGATTTATTATTTTAGGTGGTTAAAGTTTGTTACTTATGATTTCATATCTTACATTCTGATGCTACATCGAAAAAATAACAGAAAGCTTATCAATATATACATGAATACATAATAACATTACCCAAGTGCACAAGCTGAAACAGTGCATATACACCAAATCAGCAAAGAATCTAGACTGAATAATAACTGGTGTGTAAAATTACGCTTTCGTTTTTCAAAAGATCATGCTTGAATGAATAGCATGCACATCATTATGCCCTAGTATTAGCAAGAACATAATAGTTAATGCATAAATCTTGAGAACCAAAAAAATTATTTTAACTTGAATGATGATTTTATCCCCCCCCCCCACTTCTAGATAACATAAATGTGAATTTTCCTCATAGTATTATTAATCTTTATATAAATAATTTACTTATTTGAACTTTAACAAAGTAAAAACAATGAAAGTCTTGCTATGTTGTATAATGACGTAATTTTGGCTACACTTTTTCACACATACTTAATTAATTTTACTACTAATAATAGTTTAGACAAATTAAACTGATAATGAATTATTTCTTCAATTAAAGTTCATATATTGTACACAGAAAAAGTTGGGTCAAGTAAAATGTTTACTATGTTTAGAATAGTATATTTGACTCTACCTTTGTCCTTCAAGCTGGCTCCTGCTTCAACAGGAATAACTGCTAAAGGAACAATCCCACTTAGTCCGACGATGCAAGATGCTAAAATTGAGAGCACCCACTTCTGATAACAGCCGAACATGTTCAATGGCTCAGTGTCCCAAATAAGATTTAAGAAATAGTTGACCCCCTCTTCTAATGGTGTATGGCTGTCTCGTCTTTCCGAGTTACTGCTGTCTCCCATCTCTTGGCGATGCGGCAACTGAGAAATTGTTCGATATGGCCGAGCCCGGTGAATTTCAGCTAATATTGCAGAATGCAGGGTAAAGATAACAGCTATCTTAAGAAACTGTTCGTTAAGCTTGAAACAGCACATTGTTTGTTTTCCTTATCAACTAAGATCCAACAGTCCAAACTAAACACCTCCACTTTTACAAGTTAGTGACTGCAGCTATCCTACATCGACGTATAAAATAAACATAAACAATTGTGGCGTCCTCTAGGAATAGCTTGTTTAAAAAGATGTACAGAACCTACAAGTTAAACGTTGTCTTGGATTTATATGAGAAGCAGTACAAGCTAATGAAAAAAATCATACATTTTAATTAATAGGTCATAGTATCTAAAAGTAAAACTTGAAGAAACAATTTCTCATTTTTATAATTGAATTGAATACAAAAAGAACGGCAACTTTTAAAATCTTATTATAATTATTAACGTTGTAATGTGTCATCTGACTATATATGTATAAAAAAACGATTTTAATTGATTAAATATATTGTTACGTCTCTGTTCGTTTGTTAATTTCTTGTAAAAATTATTTCCGAAGAACTTCAGCGATACAAGTCCTTTTTTAAATAAAACTAGTTCATTTTTTCTCAATACAACTTTGCAATAAACAGAATTTCCACAGTCACACGCTATAATTCACAGCGATTCACACATTTTACTTACCGTTACTACCGGTCACTGCAATTATATCTCTCCGCTTTATTTGCCGGACTTATATACTAAAATAGAAGGCGTCTGGCAAACACTAGAGTTGCCAGGAACAGTCATGATCCTTCAAGAAACTCATGACGTGTTACCATAGTCACATGACATCTACTGTCGTAACACTGCCCCTTCCTTAGTATTGTTCGTCCCGAACAATAGCCACGTACATTAAACCAAT